TGGCAGGACCAGGCACAGGAGAAGGGAAGCAGGGCCCAGGCTGCCGGCACACACGCAGGCACGCACCCACGCGTGTACACACATGGCACACACATACACATGTGCACGTGTGCATACACGCACATGCTGACGGCATCTGCTCGTCCCGGGCCAGAAGGCGGGACAGAGGTCAGAGAGGCGGGCAGGGGAGCCGGGAGCAGAGCCATGCTGCAGAAAGCTGGGACACCTTCGTGTGCGACGCGGTCACATCTGGGTCTTGGAACTGCAGCTCTGGTCACATGTGTGGGGGGCAGGCAGAGCCCGGTGGTCATAACCCCAATGCGAGAAGGCAGTGCTCAGGGGCAGCAGGACAGGGCAAGCGGTGTCGGGGCCAAATAGGAGGCATGAGACAGCACTGACAAGGCCTGCGCAGGGAGGCTGTCGAGAGCAGAGCTGAGGGACGTGCAGGCCTCTGCCCACTTCATCTCTAGCTCAGTCTCTCGTGCCTGTGAAATTCCCTGGCTCCACTCCAGCTACAAAAGGAATTTGTTGATGAAAGGGATCCCAGAAAAAAGCTTTAATTCTGGCCTGGGATGGCTTGCTTCTAGGGACCCCCATGTGTTGGAGTCCAAAGTTGGACTCAGAGTGTGTGGCACACCGCGGCCCCGCCAACCCCTCCCTACCCCACCGCACACCTGCAGCCTCTAAGCAGCTGGCCTCTCCCACTGCTGTTGGCTTTCTCCTGGGTTGCCTGGTGGGGTCCCTGCCCTGTGCTCCCCACCATCTCCAACACACCTCTGGCAGCCAGGCAGAGAGCCCCAGCGCCTGGCCTGGCAAGCCCACGGTGCCGCCCACCTCCCCGGGCGCTGCCCTCCACCCCGGGCTCCTGCGGGCTTTCGGGTTTGCCGCTCCCTTTTCTGGATCTCTGCAGGGCCACGCCTCCCCCACGAGGACTCAAGGCCTGTCCCCTCCTGCAGGACCCCACCGAGCCCACCGTCAGCCCCGCCGCTCTCCTCTCTGCAGCCTGCACAGGCCCGGGCCGCCCGTGGTATCAGGCACACTGGCCCTGGGGCAGGGAATATGGAAGCGGCAGGCAGGCCCTGACATCTGCCAGGGCGTCAGAGCCACTTGATTCAACCTGAGCTGGACCAAGGGCCCACAGGAG